AAAAAAGAAAGAAAGAAAGAAAAAAGAAAAATAGTTTAAGTTAAACAAACAAGGAAATTATGCGAAAAGAGTGTGTAAAAATAGTTTCCTAGTTTTTGTTTTTAAATAATTTTCTATTTTTTTTTCATTTTTATAATTTTGATTTTATTTTATTTTTAATTATTATTGTTATTATTATTATTAATAATAATAATAATAATAATAATAATAATAATGATAATAATAATTTTATTTTTACGTTTATTTTTTACAGTTTACAGGACATTTCTGACCCAGTCGCTCACCGCCTTTTGCCCTGTAGAGTTCAGTTTACCCTCCGGACCACAAGATGGCGGTAACGTTCATTAACTAGTTTCCGTCTGTCACTGAAGCTTCCCGTCCAGTTTCCAAGATGGCGTCGCAGTACTACCAGGAGATGCAGGAGAGCTTCAGAAATAACAACAAGAGTCGAGAGTTCCCGGCTCACACAGCGAAGGTGCACTCGGTGGCGTGGAGCTGTGATGGAAGAAGACTGGCCTCCGGATCTTTTGATAAAACAGCCAGTGTGTTCATCCTGGAGAAAGACCGTCTGGTGAGTCACTGCGCTGCTAGCATGCTAACGTTAGCATAGCATCAGTGAATGAATGGACGGTGAAAGAGAGGAAACTCAAACTGACTGAACGTGTGTAAACATAATATCACAGCCGTTTAGGTAACTGTTTAATGTCATATCTCACTGCTAACATGGCGGGTAGCCACGACATTAACGTGTGAAGTGTTAACGTTACGTTTGATTCATTGTCCAAATGTATAAAGTTAACTGTCGGTGTCTGCTCACAGTTTTACCGCCTGAAAAATGACTGTTTTAAATGGTTATTAAACACTGAAACATCAAATCAAATGCTAAAACATTCACCTTCTTCCACTCTTATTATTATTATAGTAATATAAACCTATACACAGCCAGTGTGTGGCTCACTTGTAAAGAGCTGAATGGCCTGGATTAACTGTTAATATGAGGTTTTATTTATAGATGTAGGTATCAGTGATGTCACCAGTTTGTGGGCTTTGATGCAGACTTTATCCACCAAATGGGGAATGTTTCAAGGTCTTTGAACATCTGTTGACTTTATTAAATGTTGTGTTTGTCCTCAGGTGAAAGAGAATAACTACAGAGGTCATGGTGACAGCGTGGATCAGCTCTGCTGGCATCCAACCAACCCTGATCTGTTTGTCACAGCATCCGGAGACAAGACCATCCGTATATGGGACGTCCGTACCACCAAATGCATCGCCACTGTCAACACCAAAGGTGGGTATCTCAAGGTGGTGGCTGGAGTTTCATAAAGTAGGGTTTTTTGTCTTTATGTAAGAAAAAACATATACAGCAGTCAGTCACAAAACAAATAACTTGATCAAAACATCACAAACAGCAGTACGATAGGTGCTCAAAGACCAAGCAGATAAACATCGCTAACGTTACTGTGTCGTTAATCCCTGTCCGTGTTCAGGTGTCAACTCACACACCCATTACAGCGATGTTACAGCACATTAGAGTTAAAAATAATACAGTATCAGAGACATATCCATAGGAGATGCACTGAATTCAAGTAAGGAAGAACTGTATTTTAAGTCTGTTTGGTTAAAGGGTATTTTAATAAGCAGGAATTCAGCACAGTATGAAGGTGAGCGCAGTGCTCTGTTGATTTGATTTTTGGTAAGAAAGTTTTAGCACAGTTTTATTTACATTTAGCTTCTAGAAGATGCACTGATACTTATTAATTCTTATCATGATGCCAATATTTGTACATTAGCAGGAATGTAGCACAACATGGAAGTAGAAGCAGGGCTCTGTTGATTTAAATATGAAAGTGCAAAAAAGAAATCTGTACCTAAAAACAATAAATAATCGTGATAAATAATTCTAACCTTAATATCAATCAGAATAATTGTGATAATCATGCAGCCCTGGGTTATAGACACCTTCATCGCCATGTACACAGTTCTGCAGCAGACAAGTATGGAAAACAGCTTAGTATACAGACGAGAGAAACGTGAAGGCCAGGGAAGATGTTACAGGGGTTACTTCTTTTTATGTCTCGTACATATTCAGTCTCTCTTTCAAACTGGGTGCAGAATATTTGAGCGCTACTTGGGCGGAGACGGACGGTATTTTGTGGTGGTGCGTTGTTGCAATTCGCTGGTAAAGGAGATAAAATTAGCACATTCACCCAGGTGTTGTATTTCCATCACTGCCAGTTGGACCCAGATATATCAGCTCTGGGTGTGAATGCAGATTGTTACCTTTTCCATTAAATACAAAGTGGGTTAGTGGGTTTTTGGGCAGTGGGAAAGAGGCTTCTAGCCCAGGGGCCAGAACTGGCCCAATAAAGGATCCAATCTGGCCCACTGGATGACTTTGCACATCTAATGTTGAAGCACTAGTTAAGGGTTAGAGGTGCCAGGTTTCAGGTTTTTCCACCCCATCCAGAATACAGCTCTCTGATAACAATGAATACTTACTGTGGTCATATTTAAAGATATTAAACATTGTGAAAAACATTGTCAACCAGGAGCTTCAGTACAAAAGAATCTGTGTCAGACTTCTATCTCAAAACAATATGGTGAGCCCTGTTCAGGGCTCGACAGTGTGAGTGTTTCACTCGCACTGTCGAGCGAAAAAATATACTTAGGGGCACATGTGCGCATAAAAAAAATCAGCCAAAGCAGACTATATTTTTGTCAATAAAAAAAATATGATAATCTAACCGCAGATATTGGAGGAACTCCAGCCGCCTTCCCTTTTCGCCGTGTGACACGGTTATGGGTGGTTTTCCAAGCCACTGTCGGCACAATGAATATAAGTCACACTGTCGGCAGGGTGGGAATAAGTCAAAGTGTGGTGGAGACGAGGGACCAGGAAAAGCGCCGGACCTCCGGAGAAGCCTGCTCCGTTCTCCCCGCAGTTAGGGACCGTTCGCTGCAGTTAGGGACCGTTCGCTGCAGTTAGGGACCGTTCGCCACAGTACCACTGCTGGGCAGGGTGGAAATAAGTCCTGCAGAGTTTCAGAGGACCTGGAGAATGTTTTAGGATAGTAATAACATTATATAAGATAATCATACTGTAAAGATAAGATATATATTAGATAATAACATTAAAGACAAAATTAAATTGCAATACTTTTTCAAAACTTGATGATTTTACCTTTTTGTACATTTTGTATACAAATTCATTAAATAATTTTGCTTGTAAATGTCTATTTGCATCACGTTTATTACAGAAAACACATTATTTGCTCAATTTACATTGTGCCCCTAAATTTCTTTGTGCGCTCCTTACTTTTTCAACTTAGGAACACATGTGCTCCTTGGGGAAAAAAAGTTAGCGTCAAGCCTTGCTGTTGCTAAGGAACGGACAAAACTTCCGATTTGTAAAAGGTTTATAAGCCAGAGGATGACTTCACCTTCTTCTTCGATAGCTGCCACTTCAGTGTGAGTGGAAAATTATTAAAAGAATGCAATGACAGTGACTGAATGTGGAAAAACTCAGACATGCTGTTGAATTTGCACACATTTTTCTCAGTATGTAGTGGACTGGCCATCATTAGTTTTGCAAATGGATGAACAGAATGAACTTCTTTACACTAAAAAAAGGGTTTGTTTCAAAGGGTTGTTATTGACAGGTTATTATGCATTAGTTTCACTGGTCCCGCCCACTTGAGAGGGCCCATGATCTAAAATGAGTTTGACACCTCTGCTTTAGAGTGAAGTGAGATGTGAATTCTGATGACCATACAAACATGTAAACAGTAATATTTATGGATAATATCTGGAAGTTAGCATGGCTGCAGACTCAGAGCCTGAAGCTTCCCAGCAGGACTCCAGACACTAGTTTTTACAGTAACACATTCTGAATGACACCTCCTACGACTGACAGAGCCGAGGAGACACCCTGCTCCCTCCCTGCTGCTCCGCTTCCCTCCTAAACAAAGAGTAAAGTCATGTGTTCAGGGGTAGTTCACAAGTTAATAGATAATCCCAGATAAACCACTGTCCTTTATAACAAGTCTCATATCGTGTTTTTTAGGAGAGAACATCAACATCTGCTGGAGCCCTGACGGTCAGACCATCGCTGTGGGGAACAAAGACGATGTGGTGACCTTCATCGACGCCAAGACGCACCGCTCCAAGGCAGAGGAGCAGTTCAAGTTCGAGGTGAACGAGATCTCCTGGAACAACGACAACGACATGTTCTTCCTCACAAACGGCAACGGCTGCATCAATATCCTGAGGTAGGAACCCACACAGAGTGACCAGGCAGTCCTGCCGCACAAACAAACTCTGAATTTGTTTTTCCCAATGAAAAGCTGTCTGTACTGTGCTCTCGAGCAGTCTTCACACTCGGACAGCCGCCAGCTGGCGAGTGAAGCCACTATCTGCAGAAGGTGTCGTGGTAGAAACTTGAAGCTTGAAGCTTGAAGTTGCAGGAGAGACGTTCTCTAGTTTTTCACATTGATCCCACCATCTGATGATGGGACTTCTTCTCTTCTATACTGTTTCTCTGAACATTGTTTTCTCACATTGATGGCATTGAACAGAATTCACATGACTGAATTTTTGGTCATATGTTATTGTGCAACCAAAAAGGAAATAACAAAAGTTATTTTGATTCATAAGGAACACAGGTAACACGTTTTATACTTCCTCTTAACATAATCCACTTAGTCCTTTATGTATTTTGTACGTACACCTTATTTTGAAACGTTTAGTCACATGTGTGTGTCCTGGGCTATTTCAAAGCATTTACTGTGAAGGTCAGAATACAGATGCACTGCTGGTTTGACCACAGATACTGTATGCGAATGGCAGCAGCTTTCTCTCAGTCAGCTCCTTCAGCTCGTCAGGTTGACAGTGTGCATCTCTTTGAGCTCAAATATTTTCATTGCCTTGGGTTTTATGCCTCTGTGCAGGTGATAGTCGTGGCCGGAGGCGTTATGTTTTGAGGTTGTCCATCCGTCTGTTCCTCCCATTCTTGTGAACCCAATATCTCAAGAACATCTGAGGGGAATTTATTTAAATTTTGCACTGTTGTCCACTTGCACTCAGCGATGAACTGATTAGTATTTGGTAGTCATAGGTCAAAGGTCAAGGTCATTGTGACTTGGTCTGCCTCATTCTCTTGAACAACAGATCTCAAGAACATCTGAAGGGAATTTCATCAAATTTGGCACAAATGTCGACTTTGTTTTCACTTCAGTTTCTAAGTTTCAGCCATCGTGGTGTTTTTATTTCAAACCACGAAAGAAATTGAAAGAAATTATCTGACACACGCTGCCGTCACGATATATTTTTATTTCTGTCCCATCTCGACACAACAACGACGTTCCAAAGGAAAACACACTCAGGTAAATGGAGCTTTTCTGTCAGGGATTTTGGGTGATCCACAGTTCATCAAACTACCAACGCACCTGGTGTCAACATGCTGTCAGATAAAGCTGTGTGTTCTGTAGGGGTGTGAACTCTCCGATACTGAGTGTGTACTTTTTTACTCTGTATTACAGTGTGTGTATGTGTGTGTTTTGGAGCTGAAGTGAACAGTGTGTGCGTGTGTGTTTGCAGTTATCCAGAGCTGAAGCCCATCCAGTCCATCAACGCTCACCCATCCAACTGCATCTGCATCAAGTTTGACCCCACGGGGAAATACTTCGCCACAGGAAGTGCCGACGCCCTCGTCAGCCTGTGGGACGTGGATGAGCTGGTGTGTGTCCGCTGCTTCTCCAGGTCAGTGTTGATGTGCTTCACCTTTTCTCTGCCTGTGTTGATGAATCTGTATCATTATGACTCGATGTTACCTGTGATGTTACCTTATCACTGAATCTGTCCTTTTACTGACTGCTGCTGACGCTGCAGGCTGGACTGGCCTGTGAGGACGCTGAGCTTCAGCCATGATGGCAGGATGTTGGCCTCGGCCTCTGAGGATCACTTCATAGACATCGCAGAGGTGGAAACAGGTCAGTGTGAGAGATGATGACCGTTAACGTCTTAGGTGATGAAACCTGAGCAGTGGAGTTGGGCTCATGGGCAGTTTGAGTCTTCAGTGGACTTGTGCTGGTTTGTAAAAAGGCAGCTGTAGAAAAGAACAGTTAAAATCTGAGGAAGGCTTTCACATCATCACCATCATCATCATCATCCTGCAGCAGTTAGTAAACACGCAGCTGATGTTTTAAATAATTTCCTGTTACAAGAAAAAAGCCGCAGAGATCCAGAGAGCTGAGAGTCCACCATCAACAGCTGCTTTAACTGAACCCAGTGTTTTAGCTCACTTGTGTATGTGTGTGTGTGTGTGTGTGTGTGTAGGAGAGAAGCTGTGGGAGGTTCAGTGTGACTCTCCGACCTTCACCGTCGCCTGGCACCCAAAGAGGCCGCTGCTGGCCTACGCCTGCGACGACAAGGAGGGCAAATACGACAACAACCGAGAGGCCGGCACCGTCAAACTGTTCGGCCTCCCCAACGACTCCTGAGACACACGAGCTGAGGTTTAACTGGAGCGACGCAACAGTAAACACATGAAACATCCTGAAGCCACAGTAACCTCCTGTCTCCAGCAGAGGGCGCAGCTCACTCTTTCAATCTGTTTCTATACTCCACTGTCAGTGCTGTAATATATTGTTTTTATGTAAAATATGCTTTTTGATATTAAACCGAGTCTCTTTGTAAATGTTGTTTGTCTCGAGCTCTGATTGCTGAATTATGATTTTTCTCATTAATGTCGAAAGCTGAAAAAATAAAATCACAACAAAAATAGTGCCAGTAAAAATAAAATAAGCAAATGTAAATTTAAATGCCAACTAAATCCACCTTTTAGACAAATGGGTCAAATCATGTCCTACCAAAAAAAAGATGTTTAAAGATGTGTCCCAGATGTTTGTCAACACCTTTGTCAGATTTCAAAAACATAATCAGGTATAAAAGGAGTTTGCTGTATCCCGAGCACTCCTGCCTCGCTTTGTTTCCTTCATAATATCACAAACACCTCTAACAGATAAAACCCTGAAAGAGTCGTCAGCTGACAGTGGGCGTGTCTGTATCTTCTGTGGTGACAGACGGGCGCAGTGTGAGTTCCAATCTGAGGTGTTGGGCGTGGGCAGGTGACAGGTGGAGCCTCAGAGCCGCAGGATGTATCACCTCGCAGTTTCCTGTCGTCACAGGAGGGATCATGTCACAAGACAACCCTTGGTTCCTCCTTTAATTAATTCTAATGTACTTCATCTCCACGTGAGAGCAGAGCCGTCCAAGAAAGCGACGGCGCTCAGTGAGCTTCCTGTTGGCTGAAGGCCCTCTGCTGACTCACCTGCATCTCCTCACTAACTCACCTTTCCTTATTTTGTGAGGTGATACTTTAAGAATCTGTGCAGCTGCTGAAACAGACGGATGCACCTAACTGACGCTGTTAAACTGGATTCAGTTCAGTTGGATCAGGAGTAGGTCAGGGACTGTTCTTTACTCATCAGAGGGGAGGGGCGGCTGGGGTGTGACTTTGGTTTTGTTTCTTTATACTGTTGTGTTCTTTACCCTCCCTAAAGCTACGAATATTCGTCCTTAATCCTCAGGTTGTGGCGATGATAAGTGATGTAACTTTGATGATTTTCATGCTTTCTTTAAAAACAGATTCGGTAAAAACAAGCCAAAAAACACAAGTATATTAAAATGAGTACAAAATACAACCATTTAAACTTGTATGCTCTTATCCTCAGCCAAAATAAAAAATACAAGTCCTTTAAAAGTTCAGTTTTTTTGTTTGGTAGCTTATAAAATCTTAGTCCTGGGTTCTTTACCATGTTGGTAGTGGCCCCAGCACACGGCAGCTTTTAGGTATTTTTGTGTTGTTTCCCACTGTAGCAGGTGTAAATGACGAGGAGGCCCCTTCATGCAACACAAAGTCAATGGAGAGGGTGAATTGTTTTCCCCTTCAGCGGAGGCGGGACTTAAATGTGCTCTGTCTCTATATCAGGGATTGGCAACCTGCAGCTCCAGAGCCACATGAGGCTCTTTAACCCTGTGGCTTTGACAAAATAGTAATATGGAAATGAATAACAGCTTTTTTTTTTATCATTGTTGTAGGCCAAAGGAAAATATGCACCAAATAAAAAACATGTTTAACTTTTTGTCGACTAAAATGTGCTTCAATCGTCTGTGGCCTGACACCTTCACCTCTACATTTTGCCAAACCTCAAAAGTGGATCCACAGTGAGGTTAGCAATGAGGTTGCAAATCCAAAAAGTAAAGTTTCAGAGGAGAACAGATAATTCAACAGAGCGTGGATGGCTTCATTTGCTTTTAACTCCAGCTTTGCAAATTTAAAGTTCCAAATAATCGTTAAATAGCCCACTGCAGAGTCACCACTTTGTGGTAAAACACCAAATTAATGTTCATTTAGACCTGTTGATTTGATAATTTAGACTTATCAGTCTGTGTTCCCTTCATTATGGGGCTAAAATATATTTTTGCAGCTCCAGACAGATTTTGTTTTTATCATTGTTGGTCAAACATGGCTCTTCTGATATTAAAGGTTGCCGAACCATGTTTTACACAATTAGTCATATTTTATATTTTCAGTATGTAACAACCTTACTTGTCCTTCTTTGATCACCAACCCTGCACTTTAATAAAATCATATTTATTTCAAGAATGATGAACTGAAGCAGTCCTTTGACGCAGCCCCTGATCATAAAGCACTCTGTAGCTAAAAGCTGAATGTAACTAACTACTATTGATAGTTTTATCATCTGTTATTTCACCATGTTTGTGGCTAGACATGAAACAGGATGTGCTTCAGTCAATCAGTGTTTTCACAGTTTTATTTTCACCTGAGTGCAGTTTGAGTCGTCATGTTCTGTTGAACTAAACGGGACGCAGTGAGAACACAGAGTACAGTGTGTGTGTGTGTGTGTGTGTGTGTGTGTACTGAAGACTTCAGAAATGATCCGAGTGAAGCACCTGGTGTATTGAGTTGAGCGTGGTGGCCTGATGTATGTGGATGGCCCTTGAGCGTGTCGTCCCATCAGTCTCCTGCTGATCCCAGCTCTTATTTACTGTGAAGAGGTGGGTCAGTATGAACGGATGTGATTGCCAGCGAGCATGTTGAGATAATAAATCAAACGCTGCTGCCTGCAGGGTCTCCTTGTGTGAGCAGGAATCTGATTTGACTTTTAATGGTCTGATCTTCACAGAGCAGCCTCGGCGCTCCACTTACTGCCGGACAATAAATCAGGGATGTTTTGGCACGTTGATGTGACTCTACAGAACTGCATTAGATACTGCTGGTGCTGTACACTCACTCAGAATCATCTGTTTAACCTCTGAGGACACTGTCATCGAGGTAACAGGAGAAATAACTTAATATTTATTTCACTGCTGATAAATGTTTGTTCCTCTTCTCTCACTGTAGCAACACTCAGTCAGTAGTCTACACACTTTATTTATTTCACTAAAGTCCAAACATGCCAGATGATATATATATTTGAATACCCAGAGTCTGGCAGAAACTAGTGCCATTTAATATGAAACACTAACTATTTGTCTTGAGGTGACGTTTTTAATGAGATTTCATGAGACTCAACACCTCACCAATCAGCTGCGAGCACTACAGGACATATGGAGGACTAGGCAGTACAAAAGTGATGAGCGGTCCGATTCTTTTCACAGTTGCAGGTGTACAGAAAACATCTAACTTTTGCTAACCTGTCTATATGTTAAATAATGTATTTTGAGCCTGTGCTTGTTTGTATGTAGGCCATGTAAACCCAACCGTTGTTACAGAAATATGATCTGATCACATCGATTTGTCGTCCCTTCCTGGCTAACCAGAATATGTCACACCTCGAGAGAACGGTTGGCTCTCTCTCGTTCTTTCAGTGTAGCAGCTCGGCTGTCTGAACTGGAGTCAGTCGCATCTTGTTCACTCGCAGGCAGTGTGAGTGGTACCCTACAGTAACCACGAGTGGGAGCACGGATTCATGAGTGGACGTTGGACAGGCTGACCTGGTTCATATTGGACACTTAAAAAGATTTGCTCATTCGTTTTTGACCATCACCAGAGCACAATTTAGGTCATAATTTCCAACATGTTATCATCCCAAGTCAAAAGTCACATTGTCTGTGGACTTTACGTCTACATCTTACACACTAGGTATCCTCCTGCGTCTGCTGTTGACGCTCTGGGACGCCACAACCAACGCTGGGATGCTGACAAAGGCAAGTGGTTAGGTTTAGAAAACATCATGGTTTGGCTCTACGTTCATATGGAGAGTGAGCACTGAGCTCCGGGGTGAAAGTTGAGGGTTTGTTGGACCCATCCACCTCCCCTCCTGCCCGCCCTGTAGGGACTTTCCAACTCCTGTCGTTACTTCATACCATCACAGAACTTTGAACTTTGAGCTGATAACAATCTGGGCAGTCCTTTTACTCTCTAGCCAGGAGAACACGGCGTCCATGATGGATCCATCAGACCACAGCACACTGTTCCACTTTGTGTCGGTCCCTCTCAGATGAGCTCGGGCTCAGGGAAGTCGGCGCTGTTTCTGGATGTTGTTGACATGAATGCTGAAAGGCACATGCAGGTTTTGGAGCAACATATGCTGCCATCCAGACAATGTCTTTTTCAGGGACGTCCCTGGTTATTCAAGTCGAAGAGACACATTGCGCACATGGTCCAACAGCGTGGCTTTGTAGTAACAGAGTGCAGGTACTAGACTGACCTGCCTGCAGTCCACACCTGCCTCCCATTGAAAATGTGTGGGACATTATAAAGCCCAAAAATACAACAACAGAGACCCCAGACAGTGTTGCAAATAGAGTCGTATATCAAGCGAAAATAGGAAAGAATTTCACTTCAAAAACTTCAACATTTAGAGTCCTCAGTTCCCAAACACTCACTGAGTGTTGTTTAAAGAAAAGGTGATGTCACAGTGATATGCTCCGCTCCCGACCTTTTTGGAAAATGTTGCAGGCAAGTGTGTGAGTGTGAACATCAAACATCTTGTCTCTGTACTGCAGTAAACTGAATATAGCTCAAAAAAGGATTTATATTCTGTGTCTTCTTAGACCTGGGGTGGATCCTACATACACGGACAGAGACAGTGTCAGGTATAAATCCAGTTTCACGCTGATCAATATTGTCTTTGATTGAACGGCGGCTTTTCTCAGGATGATCCTCCTCTGTTCATCAGACGCAGGTGTGATCAGTGCATTCACACACTAATGTATGTGTGTGTGTTTTCACATGTGTTTGCTGAGTGTATCACTGATGAGGTAATTGTGTGTGTTAAGGGAGGGCAGCTGTGTGCAGAGAGATAATCAGACCCACCCGTCTGTTTGCTGCAGTCACAACACATTAGTCTCTGGATCTGTTAAAGGCCACTTTGGCCATTCGGGGTAATTGCTGCGCGGCGCTGACCCGATGCTTCCTGATTGATTTTTGGAGTTTTGGTGAGATGAGAATCTGTGATGCTCGGTCACTCCCTCCATCCCTCAGCTTTCCTGATGGCTTAATAAATGTGTTTTATTTCAGTCTGACGGGAGGAAGTCAACACAAATAACATGATTAAAGGAAGTTATGTTTTATTCTTAATATTTTAGTCAAGATAAGATTTTCAGAGGAGTGTAATTAAACACACATCATATGTAGGTGCAAGGCTCTGTGGAAACAGCACCGATTCAAAG